AGAGAGAGAGAGAGAGAGAGAGAGAGAGAGAGAGAGAGAAAGCAGTTTGGGGTTTTTGTCTTTTTTCTAGAGAGAGAAAGTGTCTGCGACAGAGAGAGAGAGGGAAGAACTGAGGAAGGATGTGGGAATCGATCTGTCTGACGCTGGCGGCGACCGCCGGGAACAACATCGGAAAAGTGCTTCAGAAGAAGGGCACCGTCATTCTCCCTCCTCTCTCTTTCAAACTCAAGGCATCAATCATTTCATCACCTCCATAAGTCCCTCTTTTTTTATTCTTTTTTACATTTCCGCCCTCCTCCATTTCTCCTTTTGCATTTGGGGGATTCTCATTCTGGCTTCGATTAATTGTATTGCAAGAATTGAATAATAAATTTGATTTGAAGAATTTACATGCAATTCAGTTGGATTTATATGCGTTCTGTGATTGCCTAGCATTAAAAAGAAAAAAAAAACAATTTTTTTTCCATAAAAATGATTTCTTTTTCCGATCCAAATACCGCAAATGTTGAAAATTTTATCGAATATTGCATGATGAGAATCATGCCAGCTCTTTTCTTGCGAGTTCTTTTTTTTTTTTTTTGGGATAATCAGATGTTTATTTATTATGAGTGTGACTTTATGTTTGTAGGTGATAAGGTCATATGCCTTTAATAAAGCATGGTTGTTAGGTTTTCTGATGGATATATTTGGAGCCTTATTGATGTTGAGAGCACTTTCTCTTGCTCCTGTGAGTATGCTGTTACTGCAAGTTATTATCTTTATTTTCAATGGCATTGCGTTAATCCATTCATTGTTTAGTTTATTTAGTAGTGATTAGTTGAATTCTCAATTCATTTTTGTTCCTGTAAATTGTCTATTATTAGTTTGTCAATTGTCAGTTTAAGGGTTCACGTTAATTAAGTATTGTTAATGGAAAAGTTATATGGTGTCCGTTTGATTTATAGGTTTGGACAGAAAACTTAAATAGAAATTCAAATTTTTGTTAGAGGAAATACCGTAGCGAAAAGGTTTGAATTATAGCTCAAACTTGTGAAGGAAACAAACGTATTTGATTTATAGGTTTGGACAGAAAACTTAAATAGAAATTCAAATTTTTGTTAGAGGAAATATTGTAGCGAAAAGGTTTGAATTATAGCTCAAACTTGTGAAGGAAACAAACGTATATTTATCTTACTCTGCTGCCTGCAATTTTTTGACTTTGAGATAGTAATTTGAATTATTTCTTGAGGCTAAGTAATTCCTGGTGAAAATTATTGATTTTACCACCCGTTAATTAGTTAGTTTCTGCATATCTTTGTGTTGGTAATTTGGATTCTGTTCTTTTTAGGTATCTGTTATCCAACCAGTCTCTGGCTGTGGACTGGCTATTCTTTCTATTTTTTCGCACTTTTATCTGAAGGAAACCATGAATGCTATTGACTGGATGGGAATTACTTTAGCAGGCATTGGCACCATAGGTAATGTAAGTTGTTTTTTTTTCCTTGATTGATTATTGATCTTCTACAAATTCTTCTATGTCTGTATCTTTTCGTTGTAAATTTTTTAGAAGGTTTTTTCCCCTTTAATTAATGTTATATGTATGTGTACGACCTTGTGGTTCTGATATATCATATATCATCAGCAGTTCATTGTTTTGAGTGTGCTCCTTTGTAAATGTGTAAGGTTTCTTTGCATAAAAGCCAAATCTTTGACCAATAGAAGTACTTGGCCTAGTGCGGAAGTAGAATTGACAAAACCATACAACTTTCAGCTCTCGATCTTCTGTTTACTGGGAAGATAGAAATATTAATTTTTTCTATATGCAGGAGTTGGTGCTGGAGGTGAGGAGCAAAAGGCTTCTGCTATATCAATTTATCACTTACCATGGTTGGCAATTATCGTCGCTGCCTTGTTTGTAGGTACCTTATCTTGTGCATCATCTAATTTCAGTATTGTTACGTCTTTGCTGCAATATATGAGTGACTTTCATGCTAGATTTAATCCACTAAATCATAATTGAAGGGCACTTTATCACTTATTTGATACTTGAATTTATGCACTGTAGAGAATCTTAGCGTTAAATAAACCCTTGTAATAGGTACTCCTTAATGGTTGGCTTCGTATCTACAAACGTCAACGGAGAGAACAGGAATTGGTAACTTGATTTTTGCTTTTCTCTGTGTATAGTATTTGAACGGTTCTATGGTCTTTCATCTCCTTTATTTATCGACGCTTGTTTGTGGTGCAGATGGAATATGAAGTTGTTGAAGAGATTATATATGGCCTGGAATCTGGTGTTCTGTTTGGGTACAGTCTCTTCTTGACTGATTTCATGCATCTATTTTGTTCCTTGTTGACAGAGATGACACCCGTCTCTTACCTTCCAATAATATGGTGAAATTCATTACGGAGTAATTGACAAATGCGGAACAAATGTGACACATCATTGAATTGCTACAGTTGCCAGTCAACCCTGACATGGTGTTAATTGTGGTGTTTCATTCGAAATTTAATGGTTTGTTGAGTATGGTACTCGTATTTTTTTACGGGTTGATGTCCAATCAGAATACTGTGTTTTAGACGGAATCGTACCGTTTACACAAGGAAAGAACTATATGTTGATGTTGATGATTTGCATTCAATCTTTTTGTAAAAGAATGAAATTCAAATAGAACGGAACTGGGAACATGATACTTTTATGGCAAAAGAAGTTAGCTTCTTTGTGTCTTGAACCGTGTTTATAGCACTAATACAATGCTTACACATCTCTACAGGATGGCATCGGTAATATCAAAGATGGGATTTGTTTTCTTGGAGCAGGGTTTCCCCAGTATGCTCGTTCCTATTTGCATCACAATCAGCATATTTTGTAGTGGTACAGGATTTTATTACCAGGTAAATACCTTGAATAGATTCAGAGTCAACCTCAATGTACAGGTCATTAAGCAAGAAATGTGGTTATATTACCATTACAAAATTCTATCAGTGAGCTTTCTTTTTTTTTTTTTTTTTTTTGGCTTTTTTCTTTAAGAGTTAATTTGTTGCTTATTTTGCTTTTTTCCCTTTTCCTACTTCATGTAATATTTGTCTGTGAACGATTGTAACACTCAGTTTCCATACCACTCGGTTTCTATATTTCCTGTAGAACTTCATAAGTTGCAGCCTTCATATTGAGGCCATTAGATCTCTGGAAATTAACACAATTTCAGCCATTCTAATGATGCAACTATGTCATTTACAGACCCGGGGTTTAAAGCATGGAAGGGCAATTGTGGTATCAACATGTGCCGCTGTGGCATCGATTGTGACTGGTGTGCTAGCTGGAATGCTTGCTTTGGGTGAAAGCTTACCTTCAGCTCCAACGGCCCGTTTGTCACTTCTGCTTGGATGGTAACTTGAACAATCTGAATTATATCTTGCTTGTTACTTTCAACAGAAGTAACCTTTCTCAGAATCCAAATTTTACGCACTCATTTCAAACATGTTTTAACTACAGGTTGCTGATAATCCTTGGTGTGGTTTTACTCGTGAGTTCATCTTGGCTGGTTCGACTCCTCCCTCGTCGATTACGACGTTTTGTACAAAGTGGCATTGATAGGAATTTCGGAGTCCGACAATCCGGGTCCATCCGTATTAGAGAAGCGAACCCTAGCACTGTTATCCAGGCTGCAACATTGCACCATTTGATGGCATCTCCTTCTAAAGAGAAGGCTTGAAGATGGCATTTTTCCTTTTTAGGAAACCCGGGTTGTACAGAACATTCTGCTTACTAGTGTTCGTGGAGGGCAAGGAATTTTTTAGATCCTCCTCGGAGACATTGATGAAAGGTTTTTTCGGTGAAAGGTCTCTTCATATTTGAACTTAATTGAGGGGAAAAAAAAAGGTGCTCCCTTGAAACTGTTTTCTCCATTTGGAATTCTTTTATCACCTTAAGAATGCTTGAACGGGCTATTGCTACTCTTTTTAACAGTAATAAAAACTTATTTGCTTTCTTCCACCAATCATCTTTTAGTTTCTTGGAATCATCATGAAGAAGACGAATTGATGAAAGAATCTAGTACAAGACAAATACTGGATAAAGAATCTAGTACAGGACGTTATCCTTTCATGTCCCATTATAATAAAATTCCTTGAGCAAATAGTTGAACTCTTGAGCATATTCACATTTGTCTCGTCCTCGAAATTCCCACTGGGGAAAAGCAATGGATGGCAAGAAAGAATCATTTGTTTGCTAGCAGGCTTGATATAGAGGTTGTACCTAACGTTCTTAGTGGGATTACTCTCATCTTTAAGGACATAGAAGCTTTAATATTTGAAAAAAGGGGACGGTCAAAATACTATTGACAGCGTTTCATGCTCTAAGTTTTAGAGCTTGTTTGATAGAAAGAGAAAAGCGGCATGAATGGATTGGGCGAGAAAGGAAGCTTTAATATTTGAAAAAAGGGGACGGTCAAAATACTATTGACAGCGTTTCATGCTCTAAGTTTTAGCTTGTTTGATAGAAAGAGAAAAGCGGCATGAATGGATTGGGCGAGAAATCAAATTAAGAATTTTTTTTTTTATCAGTAAATATGGAGAGATTGGAGGAGGAATTCCAAATCAAGACCCCAAAGAATAAAAAAAAGGAAAAAAAAAAAAAAGGAGCCTTTCTCTTATTGTGCTAAGTTAAGTTCATGTCTTTCTTTCTTTCTTAGTTCTTATTTTCTTTGATAAGATTGAAAAAATAGACTATTAATAATTCTCTATTTTTTAACGATTAAATTTGTATAAAAAACTGTTTATTTTATATAAATTTTTAATTTAATGTAATTTTAATTAGATTTAATAGTTAAAAATTAATCCTATTAGTAAGGTGGTCCCTTAAAAGTAGGTCCCATTTTCTTTTCTTTTCTAAATTTAATAGTTAAAAATTAACCCTATTAGTAAGGTGGTCCCTTAAAAGTAGGTCCCATTTTCTTTTCTTTTTACGAGATATAGCCTTAGACATGTTTCTCACCGCAACATGTTGTGGACCTCTTGATACGCCCCGTCTCTCTTTGATCCTTGCGTGTAAACACCTAGCAACACACGAGAGAATATATTCCTAATACTGTAGTGCCTTTTTCACTTTTACCTTCTTCTTCTTGGAAGAAAAAAAATGCTCTCTCTCTCTCTCTCTCTCTCTCTCGTTTGATGGACTCATTATAAACATAGCTTAAAGTTGGCGGAAAAGGCTTTTGCTTATAACAAATAGTGAAGGACTTTGGAAATAAAAGTCAACGACATAGTATTCACTAAGGTGGCAACATCGGCGGAGTTCGTGAAATCTGACGAGACGCAAATTGGATACCAACAAATTCTTGTGCCGCACGAAAAGTTGCGTGGCTAGAGTTGGTAAACAAAAATCATTTAGGACCCGTTTAGCCCGTTTAGTTCGTTAATTTGAATTTTTAATTTGAATTGAAATGTAATTTTATATGAGAGCTTTTTACTGTAACAAAAAAATTAGATGTGATTGTTTTTAAAAACTTTTTATTGTAACAAAATTCAAATTTTAAACTCAAATCAGTGAAATGAACAGAATCTTAGAGTTCATAAATTCAAACCAGTGAATTTGATTATGACTTTTGAAATTTAATTTTTTTTCTAATAGAAAAATACCGTATCAGAATTAAAATTATGTGTTTGAACCTAATAACCCATGAAACAAACACTCTTAGAAGGAATAATTGCAACAGAGAGAGAGAGAGAGAGAGTCAGGCATCAATGAGAAGGTATTGGAAAATAAAGACCCATTTATTGAGAAAAGAAGTTATGGAGGGTCCTCTAGAACAGTTAGATACTTGTACAATCACTTATCAATTCATGGTATGTCCAGAAAACAGTGAATGGCTTTTCAGTTGCTGCATCGATCCCTTTTAAAGTTTAAACTCAAGGAGAGTTAAGAGCCCATGAGGGACCTCCCTAATCAAGCAACAGCCATTTCCCACTTTCACCCCTATTTTATGACACAACCAAAAGCTGAGGTCCACCATGACTTGGACTTGAGGTCACTAACTGGTGAAAGACTCATAATGCTTGACAAGACCCAATGTTTGAGATGAAATGAGGAAGAAGAAGAAGAAAAAAACCCATTTTCCCACATTATAATGTGAGGGGCATCAGTGTCATTCCAACAACCAGCAAAACCTCTATCCGTTTTCCTGAAAACGACAGCAAAACGTCGTTAATGGACTAATCAGAGAGACGATGCTAAAGGCAAGGTGACCCCTAGTCAGGTGGTTAGATGGCCTTCCTTGTTGAGAAATCCATGTGAGTCGCAGTTTTGATACTTTCACGTTAGCCTAAAGTTTTACACCTAGGCAAAGCTATATAAATATATATATATATATATATATATAAATGTGAAGTGGGATTTGAAAAAGGTGTGACAGATCATAGTAGTTCCTATGATTTTAGACATGTTGGTTATCTCTTTGCCACCTACCAAGCTATTTATACTCCCTCTTCAAAAAGGCTAAGTTGTATAACACACCGAAAAACAGTTTCTTCCTTCCTCCTGTTGGGGAAAAAACTAAGGATGTCTAACGATGACATTAACATGACACCAGAATGATTTCCTGCTGCCAAAACACAAGAGGGGAAGCTGAGAAAGAGAAAAGTCAGGCTGCCTAATGGGGGTACCCTTCGTCCTCTACCCCAAGGCAAATTGTACTTCTGTCTTCAAATCATGCAAGCGAAAAAATTTAAGGCTGTGAAAATGAAGCGTCTTTCTTTCAGTCTCCATCTCAGGTGGGACCTTAACAAACAAGAAACAATTCCCTTGTTTGTTATTTTTAACCCATCTACTCATTAAGGGGAATATTTCTTTTCCTACTTCACAAATGTCCTTATCATTTTAGGGTAGGTAAATAACAGAAATTATGATTTTAACTAGAAATATTCCTACCACAAGAAAAGAACCGAACCGCAGTCAATAAACTAAGATGAAGAGAAGCCCCATAAATCATCCTTTCAAACTTAAATTTCCATTTTCATGAAGCATTCTTGGGCACAAAATTCTAAGAATTACCTAGTTGTTAACTTTCGATGGAGTAAGGAGCTTTTTATGGTGGGGCTCGTTATTTACCCTACTGATGGTGTAAGTTTTTTAGCCACTTAGTTAAATTTTAATGGTTCGATTATGAGTGTCCACTCAGATAAAAGTACTCCGCACTCATAGATCATGCCGTTGAAATTTAATCAAATGGCTAAAAAACACTTGCCCTATGAGTAAGGCAAAACACGGATTTTCCTATGGGTAAAATGTACCCTGCAGAAACCTGAAATAGTAGACCCCAACCTGAAGAAAAGAAAAGGGAGCTAAGGTACCTTCAGTCAGTATCACCAATCCTACCCTTCACTCTACTTTGGATAGAAAAACATACACCAAGATTCCATTGACCTAACTTCATCCTCATGGCATTTGTGGGAAGGTACTAAGTGCCCAAGAAAATAACCCTGCAATTACTAAAGTTACTGATAAAGATAAAAAAAATGACAAATTTTATCAAATAATTGCGTTCAACAAACCGTCGTTTATAAGGTGCCATGTGCAGGTTATTCTATTATGTCAGATTTGAGATGACCAGAACGAAATAGCTTTGCCTAAAAGTCTAACTTGTTCTCAACTTATCTATTTAACTCCAATAGAAGCCACCATGTAGTGGGACCATCTTATCAAGCACTTGAAATTTCTATTCTACAACTGCTGATTATCTCCTTTCATTTCAAAGTACTTTAGTCCCTTACCAAGTGGTATCAACCAAATATGACTGTGGAATACTGTCTCAATTGACCTCAAACCAAAGCATGTCGTCAAGCGGCAAGGATGATATTTGCTAAAATTTTAAAATTGGAGAGAATAATGAAAGTACATGAACAGTATCTGGTCCCATTTAAATGGAATCATTTTTCTTCTACGGAATTCAAACACCGATGAATCACATCAGGAAATACATTAGAAAGGCCTACCACAAAATAACACTTTCACCTTGCATTAGGGTCTTCGCCTGGATACTTACCAAGCTGCTCCATCTGCCAGCTTTCATGAGATGCAACATGTTCATGGGAAGGAGAATATTGCTGCAGAACCATTGTTAATGATTAGATTTTGGGTATATACCAAATCCTAGGTTGCTATGTTCACTATTAAAAAAAAATTGTAAGCCACGCAGAAAAAAAATCTAAGATAATTCTGAACAAGTTAACTAAACATAGATAATAATCAAATAAGGTAGAAATCCTAATAAGAATCAAATTTCCTAATTTTCTGTCCTTTATAACATCCTGCTTGTAGGAAATTTACCCTCCATTTGGCATGGTCAGATTCGAGTGAGATGTAAAATATAAATAGAAAACAAAAGGTTGTCAAAAAGGATGATGTGATATGGGAAATGTGACCTTGTCTATTCTTCATACTAAAATAACAACAAGTAAAGGGAGCCACGTCATCAGAAGCTCATTTGTACTTTACTTTTTAAGTTTCTAACTTTATTTTTAACACGATTCTTAAATTGATTGTGATTGAAAATCGTCTTCAAATTAGAATTTGGAAGTTACTGATTTTCAATGGACTTCTCTTACAAAGTTTGGTGAACTGGTTTTAATTGCTTTTATTTGGAGGCCAGCAAAGCACAAACATTATAACAATCAACATCAGAAGCCAGCCTTGCATATGCGTCTTTATTACATGAGGAGAATTTCTGCCACTAAAAAAAAAAAAAAAAAAACAGGAGAAAGTGTTTGGTTACAAGTACCTCCAACTTAGTCATAAGTTCTTTGGCTGTCGGAGCAGAGATGACTATTTGCCGAGCACCTGGCTTGATGAATCCTTCTTTGACACCATTGTCAAATAGTGCGAGCAAAGAATTGTAATAACCATCTACATTTAGCAAACCAACCTGCATAAGAGTAATATCTTGTTACAACTCTTGATAGTTACTAGCTGATTTTAGTTCTTCAAAGAAGGAAAAAACATGTTACTGGTTTCTTATGAATCCCAAGTTGGGCCCATGTTATCATCTCCAACAGCTCTTCCATTGTTCCATATCCTCCTGTAAACATAATTATTTCAATTGTGTCTAAAAATAGACAAATTTCCAAATAAAAAGATAGTCATTGCAAATTTCTTAAAGGACAAATCATCTAGGAAAATTCTTCTCAAGTTTCTGATTGATTAGGAGGATTTGCCAGGTAATTACCAGGCAAAGCAATAAAGGCATCAGCTTCTCGTGCCATGGAAGCTTTACGCTCATGCATGTCCGAAACAGTCCTTACTTCTCCAACAGTTTCACCAGATATCTGTCAAGTTAGACATAGAATTCTCCCATTAATGATGAATCAAACTCATTTTTCAAATTGCAAAACAAATTAGCGGTACTTCCATAATATAGACCAACACTAAATGATGGAAGGGTACTAAATTTCTCCCTAAAATCAGACCTACTGAAGTTTAGCATACTTAAAATCTCTTCCAAAGTAGTGCAAAGTTTTATGTACTTAAAAACTTTCCAACTCACAACAGACCTCCATGCAATTTTTATGTGCCAAAAATCAACATTCAAATGTATTTTCTTTCGCGATTTGTTAGGCATCAAATTAACTTCAATTTCACAGTCGTCCCGAGGATTTTTAGGATAGGATAGGACAAAGACATCTTGACGATTCAGGACCTTTGAATGAGGAGGAAACATCAAACAAGCATAACTAGAAAGAACAAAAGATACCTCGAGAGGCATGAGAGCTTTAGGAATGACCCTGCATGTGAAAAGCAATGAACAAGCTTATAAAGTGATGAAACGTGATGCAAAAAATAAAATTATCAGTGAAAAGCCAACAATATACTAGCTTCTTAGTCATACCCAAGAACGTGACATCCTCCATCATACACTGTCTGGGATATCAAACCCATCAATCCAACACTTCCTCCTCCATACACCAAGTCTATCTTCCTCTGCACCTGCAATACATAACCACAAAAGTGAAACATGTAACTAACATAGCCAATACAATCAAAAGACAGAAAACTCATTCTGTACATTAAGAATTAGTCCCATTATACAAAAAGAAAAGGTAAAAATAACAAACACCCAGTAAGCAAGACCTCCAAGTGAATTCAAAATCATCAAAAAGTACGTGTCTTGGACACGTGATGAAGCTAGAGATGAAAACAAGAACAGAAACCCAAAAAGTAGCTTAATGAAGAGCGTGTAAATGTATATAAAACAAACCAGCTCCTTTCACAAAACTCATTCAGCACGTTAAGCACTCAAGAATTAGTCCCATTACCAAGACAAACATAAAAACACAGTTCATGATATCACATGCCAATTCAACAAATAAAGCCTGTACACAAATCCCATCATCCAAAATAATAATAATAACAAACGCTCTTTAAGCAAGACCTCAAAATGAATTCAAAATCATCAAAAAGTACGTGTCTTGGACATATCACAGAGCTAGAGATCATTAAAAAAAACAAAAAAAAACAAAAAAAACAAACAAACAAACAAACCAGTTCGTTTCCCAATTCAAGAGCAGCGTCACTGAAGACTTTCCTGTGGCCAGCGTTGCTTCCACAGAAGACACAAATCCTAGTGAACTTGCTTCTTGCGTTGGTTTCCTCCATTCCTTCCCACTTAATTGTTATTTAATCTAATACCTAAGCATTGGACAAACAAACCAATCAAAAAATAAAAAATAAAAACAAACAAAAAAAGGCAAAAGTCTTTTTCAGATTGTGCGTTACTTTAATGGCTATAAAGAAAGAAAACTAGGAAAAACTATTCGAGAGAATCAACAAAAGAGAAGAGAAATAGAAGTCGGAATCAACAAAAGACAATCTGGGTCGATCCCGAATGGTGTATTAAGCAATCTGGATGCGAGAAATGGATAGCTTCTTTATACAATTACACACCGAGAGTGAAGCACGGGAAGCCCACATGCTTCCTTTTTCCTTCCTTTTCTATTTCTAATCCGACGACCCTTTGTCGGCTTTTTAAGATTTGTCACCAAAATTTTAAGTATGAATATAATCAAATCAAATTTATTTAAAAAAAATGATGAAAATAATGGAAAGAAATTGAATTATAGATTTTTTTTTTTTAAAAAATGCCTTTTTGCCTCTGTCAAGTATACACAGAGAAAGGGAGAAGGCAGATTGGCATAAACTTGGCATAGAGCAGAAATGGTAGCTCCCACTATTTGGACTTTGACTTTTTTTTATCTAAATATTTATTTATGTGAATAATATTATTTTGATAATTAGGCGACCTTTTTAAGAAAAAAAAAAAAAACAATCTCTAGCGTTTTAGTTCCCACGTCGCTATATACCAATCCCAACCACGGTTTTGTGGAAACTTCATTATAAAATTCCATGTGAAAGTACAAGCGAAGTATGATGTAACAACAAATGAAGGTATACTCATCATTATCAAAAAAAAAAAAAAAAAAAAAAAAAAAAAAAAAAAAAAAAAAACCCAAAAAAAAAAAAAGGAAATACCAAAATAAAAAAAAAAAAAAAAAAAAAAAAAAAAAAACAATAACAACAACGACACCAACAATAAATGAAGGTATAATTCAGGGTTCGAATGCTCACGTCTTCATAAGAAGAAAAAGAGTTTTAAACTTTGGCAATGTTCGTTTATGATTAGACTTAGGCCCGTTATAATTATACTAGTAAGATCAATTAATTTCTTGACACTAAGGATTCTCTTTTTTATTAATTAAAAATATTAAAATTGCTCATTTACTTGGAAAAAAAATAAGATTTCTACAATTAGATTTAAAAAAAAAAATTAAAATTAGATATGTATTAAAAATTATTTATTCTACATATTTTTTATTTTAATATGATTTTAATCATATTTTCAACGATAAAAAAAAAAAAAGATGCCATAAATAGTCGAGATTGTTCCTTATATTATATTGGTGTTAACATTTTGTAAGGGCCACTATTATGGCGCGTCATAGTTTGTTTTAATGTGCCGCGTATGTATTTCAAGTCTAATAATGCAATTTGAAATTTGGTTCGTGTTTTTCTTTAAGGAAAAAGTTCATTCATTTAGCATTAAACCAAAATTGCTTTTAATATCCACTCGCAAATTTTTCCTTTGTAAGTTGCTAATACCTCTTTTATGTGGTGAGTTAACGATTAAGATGTTTCCTTTGGACAATTGAGAAAGTTATTTATAAACTATAATAAAAGCAAGTAATGTCATGTTGAAAGAAACAAACAAAACGTTTGTCCGCATTATAGACTAAAGCGCAACATAAATGTTATTCTTTGGTCACGAATAATATAGTACAGAAATAAATAGATATAAAATGTATTGTTAGGTCAATGAGTTCTAAAATATGGTGAAGTCTAAGAAATTTGTATTCTTTGATTAAAGACTAATTTAGTTATGGAAAAATATTAATGCCAGTTGCAGGTGTTGCAACACTACAAATTAAAGTATTGGTTGTAATCTTTTTTTTTTCTTTTTTATTTTTTTTTCTTTTTTCTTTTTTTTTTTTTTATGGTAGAAGTTGATCTATGACTTTGTTGCTCAATACGGCATTCACAATAATTAAAAAATCATGATAAATAATCTGGAAAAACTCTACCTATGGTTTCGTTTTTCTTCTAATTGTAATTATGTCCAATTACTTCATATGTTGCATCTAGCTTGATGTGTTTAGTGGGAACATTTTTGTCCATGACAGGGACGTTTCCGAAACATAAATGTGTAATAATAATTAATCTGTGAACTTTGTTTCTTAAAAAATAAAAATAAAAAAAAAGTGTAGCCCGGTCCACATCGGGGGGGCCTTTACTTCGGCCGATTTATAAAAACCCCTCTATATTTACTTTTTTTCTGCTTTTGTATTGATTTTTTTTTTTATGGGGTGCTTTTGTATTGATTTAATTAAAAAGGAAGAAGAAGAAAGAAATAAATAAATGCTCGTTTTGGTTAGATTTTATTTCTTCCAAGGATAATTTTAACAATTACCTTTCTTTCCAATGGAAGGGGGAAGAAAACAATGAAAATTGATGGACCACATGACCATCTTCTATTTTTATTTTATTTTATTTTTAATAAAAAAAAACCTCATATCGTCTCTGCAGCTTATTTTCATTCAAATATTTTCACATTCTTAATTAAAAAAAACTAACTATGCACGTGTATGAAATAATAACTGGATTGATTGATAAACGAAGGTTTGGGATTTTCATAGATTCTTTTCACAACATGATGCCGATAACGATCGGCATTAGTTTCAAATAATTATTGTTAAAAAGAAAAAAACAAAAGAAAATAATTATAATGTTACAAAATTGAAAAGGGGGAATTGAAAGTTTTTTTGGTTAGGTGAAAACAAAGTAAAACCTAATTTTCACTTTAGAAGTGACACAATAACTAGAGCTATTAGAAAGAAATCAAGCTATACGTACTTTCTGTGACAATATTATTACTCGTTTGAAGAAATAGGGGGAAAAACCGGATGATTTGATAGAAGGCCTAACACCTAAAACTATATCCAAACACTGGGATGTAACTTTTTTCTTTAAGCCATCACACTATTTTTTTTTAAATTATTTTTCGAAATAAAAGAAAAAAAAAGAAAAATGGATCATACTACTGCTTTCCTTGAGCAATTTTTTTATAGAGCTTCGAGTTTAGAATTCGAGTTTTGCTACAGTAAAAAATTCTCAGAAATAATCACATCTAACTTTTTTATTACAGTAAAAAGCTCTCACATAAAATCACATTTCAACTCGAATTATAAACTCGAATCAGCGAAGTGAACGGGCCACAAGTTCACCAATATGTGTTTCATTCAGTCACATGTTTTATTTGTTTGAAACTCTTTTGCCACTACATGGCGATATATATAGTCACACCAGAAGTTTTATTCTAACCCCTATTTTTTTTTTTTTTAACATAACCTGTACTTTTTTTTTTAGTTTTTGGGGAATCGGGATAGATGAAAACGTGAGAAAGGAATTGTTGTTTATTTGCTACGCGTCCTCTAAATTTTGTGTTTTTTTTTTTTTTTTAACATAACATGTACTTATTTATTTAGTTTTTGTGGAATCTGGATAGATGAAAACGTGAGAAAGGAATTGTTGTTTATTTGCTACGCGTCCTCTAAATTTTGTGTTTTTTTTTTTTTTTTGGTAATTAGTCTCTTAAACTTAGGAATATATTGCAAAACACATCAATTGATAAGGATAAATTTTTCTTTTTAAAACGAAAATTGATATGTGACTTGCACATGCTTCATAAGCAAATAAAAATACATGTTTATGTCATATATAAGGAGAAAGCCTAAGATGCATATAATAATCACCACTAATAATGATGTCACAAATTATAGGAAATGATCATTGTACGAGTCATGAGCCAAGGATCCAAACACTTATATCTCGTAATGATCATCATTACGGGTAATAAATGACAATATTACTCATAAGAAAATCTGGAATAAATTGCTAAAGGATAGCTAGCTTTAATTGCATGTTTGGTTGGAGGATTCGTTCTCTGACTCGAATTATGATTCATGGTTCGCTACAGTATTTTCTCTCACAAAAAATACACGTAAATCGAAAATAATTTTAATCTATGAACCAAACGATAGTCTCCCACTCTTTTTTTTTTTTTTCCTTTTTTTCCCTTTATCTGGAGACCAGATATCACTACCTGGTAGGATTTTTCTTTTCATCTATTTGTAGTTTTAATTTTTATATTAAATATAAAAGATATATCTTCACTATATTTCAATCTATAGTCGTGATGAGTTTTCTCCGCTCAGATCTCAATTTAATTGTGATTTCGTATTTTATTTCAGCGTTTTTTGTGCTTTATATTTTTTTTAATCAAATCTTTAGCTTCTAGTATCTAAACCTAGAATTTTAGGCAGACGCCATACCACGTAAAAAAAAAAAAAAAAAAAAAAAAAAAACCTATAATAAAGGTAGAGGACATCTTGAAAGAGCCAAAAATTTATTTCATGTGGAACTCGATTTTATCTCGTTTGTAGAGTTATGTTCACACCAATTAAAAAAGGTGGACGATGGATTCCTTCATGTTCTTTTAAACATGACAATGATTTGACTATTATGTTAAAAATAATAAATGTTTTGTTATACGTATTCATCTAGTTGAATGAAATTATCATCTTTATACAAATCGAGTAATAATAAATAACAAACGTAAGTATAATTTAGCTGTAATTCTATATGATAAGGTGTATAGTTCGGATAACCTGTGGCATGTAAGAGATGTAAGAGAAATAACTCCTTGGACATATAACTGCTTTGGGTATTTTTAGGATTGAAACTGCAATAGTATAACGATCTTAACCGTCAATAACCACTTTTTTCGCTATCACATTTTTCAACCCCTGTCTATTCACCTTTGCTTTCTTCACATTAATCCTAAGTTTAAGCATTCCGTTTTGGATTCCTGTAAAACACCAAAGGAGGAAAAAAAAAAAAAAAAAGATCCATAACTCCATTTTCCAATGATCGAAACGAACTTTTGAGCTTGTTTAGAAGATCAAATCATCAAATTCAAGAACAGAGCAAAAAACAAGAGTGAAAACATGATGAGATAGAAATATTGAGAATTCTCTCAATATCAAAACTTCCACGTGAAAAGTTTTCAAAGTAATGGGAAGGAGAATTCCCACGAACGACATCGTTTTGATTCACCCACTACTGTCGTTTACGCTCCTCGCCGCCGGTATGGCCGCCACGATTGCGATACTTTCCGGTCTGTGCGGCGTGCGACACCGGAGAAAATCGTCACCGCCGCCTCCACTACCGACACCAAAGAAAAAAGAAGCAGTTTCTTCGCCACCAACAACAACAATAACTTCGACAACGACGACGAAGAAACCGCCATCGGCAGAATTAACAGAGCATCGAAACGAATTGTTACCGGCTCCTCCGGCGAAGAAGAAGTTGGTGAGAGAGGCTTATTCGTGCAAGGACATGACGAAGTTCATGTCGGAGAGGAAGATCGCGGCGAGCCTGAGCATGAGGGTGACGAGAAGTTTGTCGATGGTGAGAAATCGCGATCAGG